AAATAGTCAAATATATATATTCGTCTTTAAGAATGAATGGTTGCCAGCACCTTGCATCATTAAGCTTGCAAGGAATGATTGACAGGAATTTGCTAAGAGAAAGAAAACCTGACTGTGAAGATATGAAGTGTGCCTAGGTTCTTTGGTTCAGTGAGTGCTTCTGTTCAAGCAGGCTGGGAGTTGTTTTGTGGCTGTTACTGTTGCTGTCCTTTATCTAATTTCTGTTGCTGTTTAGTTAGCTAGTTGATGTGCTTTCTGTTTGATTTGTGTTGGCTGTATTGTGTTGGTTGTGTCTGTATGAATGGGTTCACTGCAGTGGTAAGAGTTACAAATTTGTATGTAGCCTTAGCATGTGCTTTGAGTTCATCTTGTGCTTTCCTTTGCTTTCTAGTTTGACTTTATCTAGAGCACCTAGATGATTGGTGTCTCTCTTGTATTGGCTCCAATTGGATCTCGAGTTGTATTTTTGTACATTCAGTGCTATATATTGATCTATCGTTTTAAAAAAAATAATAAAAAAAATAGCCAAATAGCTAATATTGATTCAAACTTAAAGCTATCTAAAAAGCCATAATATTGATTCAAACATCTAGAAGCTATTAAAAAAATTTATCAAACATATGCCTATTCAAACAGCTAAAAGCGAAGCTATCTAAAAGTCTATTGACCAAAAATGGCCATAGTCAAAACTCTCACTTTTGAAAAATACTAAAAATTCAAGTAATCAACCACACCTGTTTGTCTGGACTCTGGCATATATAAATAGAAATTGAAAGATAAAGTCAATCTTAAAACATAAAAACTAAAATTACTATATAAAAAAAAAAGAAAATAGATAAATAACAAAATAAATAATGGAAATCAGCTGGCTATACCCCTCCCTCGGTCTCTTCATTATCCTTCTAATCTCCCTCAAATTATCATTCTCACAAAAGGGCAAAAACCACAAACTCCCGCCAAGCCCGGCCCGGGCCCTCCCGATCCTTGGCCACCTCCATCTCCTGAAGACCCCCATCCATCGCACTTACCACCGCCTCGCCCAGAAAGCGGGACCCATCTTCTCCCTCCGCCTCGGCCGCCGCCTAGCAGTGGTCGTCTCCTCTTCAGATCTCGTCGAGGAGTGCTTCACCCGAAACGACGTCGTCTTTGCCAACCGCCCCCGGCTAATAATTGGCAAATACATCGGCTACAACTACACCACCCTCTTCGGCTCCCCCTACGGCGACCACTGGCGGAACCTCCGCCGCCTCACCACCATCGAGGTCTTCTCCGGCGCGCGGCTCAATACCTTCAGCTCCATCCGGCACGACGAGGTCCGACTCCTGCTGCGGAAGCTCCACAACTGGGTCTCGTCATCGTCCGGGGGATTTGCGAGGGTCGAGCTCAGATCTGTGCTTTTGGAGGTTGCCTTCAACAACATCATGCGGATGGTGGCCGGGAAGAGGTACTTCGGTGTGGTTGACGGCGGGGATGAGGAAGCCAGGGAGTTCCGGGAGCTGATTGAGGAGGTTCTCGGCTATGGCGGCGTTTCCCACCCGGGAGACTTCATCCCCGTGCTGAGGTGGATCGATTACAAGGGGTTCGAGAAGAAATTGGCAACGGTAACTGGGAAAATGGACGCCGTTTTGCAGCGGCTGATTGACGAGCAACGGCGGAGCAAGGGCGGCAACACCATGATCGACCACCTGCTTTCCCTGCAGGAGAATGAACCCGAGTGCTACAATGACGTCACCATTAAAGGAATTTTTCTGGTATGTATGTTACTTTTTAGTTTTTTCATTCTCATTTTCCCAACTTTATTTGTGGAACTGTAAAGTCGGCACTCGGCACGAACTTTGACTTAAATGCTTCTATAACAAAAAAAAATTATATCAACTTTATTTGTGGAACTGTACAGTCAGCACGAACTTTGACTTAAATGCTTCTATAAAAAAATATATATATTTATTTATTTAGTTAGTTTTCTATGTATTTATTTAGAATATTATATTTTAATTTAAAATCATATACTCCTTTCTATTTTTAATAAAGTCGTTTTGAGAAGTTGCACAATAATTAAGAATATTTTTTTTTATCAATAATAATCCTCGTTAATGAGGATAGAGATGAATGTTTTGAGAAAATATGAAGAGTGAATATGAAAAGACGTAGTGTATTTATTAGTTAGATGAAGGTAATAATGGAAAAATATGTACAAAATAGCTAAAACGATATTTATTTAACAAATGATCAATTAAACTAGAATGACAAATAAAATAAAAATAGAAGGGAGTATTTGTTAAAATCAATTTTAATAAATAGTTAGATGGAACATACATATGTTCATACGGAGGAAAGGGAGTGAGAGACAAAAGGGTATGCACTGGTTAGCCTGACAACAACTAGACTTTCTTAAAAAGCCACTGTGGATTGGGTTTTCATGATGTTCAGTTTTTCAATGAGGCCCTTGTGTCAAAGCAAGTTTGGAGAGTTATGTCAGAACCTTATCTCTTAGCCAGTAGAGTGCTAAAGTCTAAGTATTTTCCCAACTCATCCATGCTTGAAGCTCAAAGGAAGCACAATTCATCCTGGTTGTGGAACTATTGGCTTTCCGTTCTGAAATCCTGTAGTAAGTGGATGTAGCTACGAATTAGGAATAGTATGGATACTAGAATTCTTGGTCAGAACTGGATTCCAAACATTTTGGGCAGAAGAGTGGAGTTGAAGAGGGTCAACTCCTTAGTGTGGGTTAGAGACTTGATGAACTGAGAAGAGAACAAGTGGGATGAATTGAAAGTCAGACAGACTTTTCAACCTTTCAGCCCGAGGTAAGTGAGGTCATCTTGCAAAGTATCACCATCCAACCAAATCAGAAAGCAGACGAACCTGGGCTCTAGATAAGAAAGGTAAGTTTTTGTGGATTCTACCTACTCTCATCTTATTGAAGAAATTAATATTCATAAACTGGATAGGGCTCAACTTTGCAAGGGACATCAGAGTTAGACAAAGCAGCTGGGGTTTGAAGGTGAAGGAATAAGTTAAACACTTTAGTTAGAAGTGTAGGAAAGAGATCTTACATGTGAACTTGTAAGGGTTGTCGTGAGGTTGAGGAGTCCCTTGAGCATATGTTCTTTCACTGTACTAAAGCAAAGCATGTTTGGAAGTTGACACATGTTTGTTGGGTGGAACCAAAAGGGCAGGAATCATTCAAGAGTTGGTGGTGGCAGGTGGGTCAGGTGGTTGTAGCGAGAGGAAGTCTCTGAGGCTAGGATCCAATTGTCCACCTACATACTGTGGCGGCTTTGAAAATCTCAAAAAATGTGGCAGTTTGAAAATGTTTGGAGATATGCTCCTCAAATTGTTAAGGCAGCCACTCAGGAGTGAAGGGAGTACTTGGACAGTTCAGGTTAGTAGGTCTTTAGTAGGTGTTGTGGATGACTTTGCTAGGATCTGTGATCAGTGGCCGATTCTCTTTGTTGTCACTGCTTTATATTTTTTGTTTGGGTTTAAGGGAACAAAGGTTCAGACTGTGTTTTGTGTTTTGTTCCTTTTAGTTTAGTTGGTTTTGTTGTTTAGGTCACCTCCAAGTGGTTCCGTCAGTGTCAGCTTTATTACGACTTCGTTCGGTTGTGTTCAAACTTTGGTTTGATTTTTGTTGAGT